TCCAGAAAAGGGGTAATTCTGAAATGTGGACCTACCACTCTATCCAATACAAGAGGATGAAACCATCTTTCCATAACAAGGTTATTCACCAATAACAATGAATCATAGTCCCTTAAATAAAGTCAGTTGCTGAAAAAGTCGAACAAGAAGCCAATCAATAACCTCTAAGAGAGTCTTTAAGTTCGCTTTTCGTTCGTGTAGCAGATGCGTTCATAACATGAACATATCAATAAGACCTACGTGACACAAAAAGCAGCATCGTAAGGAGGGAGCACTTCCACGTGAATATTCTGCAGGAGAATTTCCTCATTCACAAGTATTTCTCTTATGACATCATCTCGATGTTGGAAGTCGAAATTGTCGCTAAATTGTGCTGATATGTTCAACGAACACAGAGCGATACCGCTATCAATGATATCCTGACGTGTCTCAGCCTCTTCGACAGAAAATGACTAAATGGACACATTTTAAAAGAATTTACAGTTGATTGGGAAGAGAAAAAAGAAGGAGTTCACCTTATCAATATCTAATTTCGTTGTATCATCCTTTCTGTGGTATGCTCTCAGTTTTTTTGTCGCCTTCTCTATGCAAACTACGCCATTTTTCGGGGTTTTCATATCGGAATAGATCAAAGTCATCACATTATTCTTATTTTCAGCACGTCGTTGCCTATAAATATGAAACATTACATTGAGTGGTGACCAAATGGAAAAGCTAACTGTTCGAGTGGAAGCTCACCGAAAAGCAGCAATTTGAGCTTTTAACGTAGATGAAGTGATTGTGGCAGGATTCGAAACCAGTAAGAAATCTCCTTAATACTTTTTGTTAAGTAACGAGATAGGGTACCGAACGATACCTGTCTACGAAAGCTCTGTGTTAGGCGTAAAATATCGATATACCTGTCAATAGCCCTCGTGAGTCGAGCTCTCTCATCGCGTCTCCAACATTCAATGCATTTTTGCAACATACAACTGTCACGGATTCAAAACAATGCTTCCAGTCTCTGAAATAGTAGCTCAATGACGAAAAACGGTCGCAAGATGGTTCCAGATGAACAAAGTTTTCTGGGGGAATGATTTTTCCGAAAAATGATGACAATAGGCGCGTATGATGACATTGGACCACGTAAGCAAAGGGGTATTCGAACGGTTCTTACTGTATTGAATTCCGAGTCGCTCACCGTTTGGGGCAAAGAATGGAGCCAGAAACAAACGGGATCACATTTTTAATCCCGGTGATAGCCCTTCAGAAGGTAGTCGGTCTCCAAACCCTTGACACTTATCATCCACTCACCATAACTAATTAAAAAAACAATCCTGCATTGCCTTTTTATTGGCGTATTTGTAAACGTGGAGCTGCAAAACACAAGGTGCTGACCTTTCCACTTTTTCCAGTGAATGGACATTTCTCTCAGAAACCACCAATAATAATTTCTGCACTTCAGTCCGAGCTATCCATGACAACGTAAAATTGATGAGAGGCACATCACATATCGGAAAAAGGCACTGAAAAATGGGCTAGACAAATACAAGAATCGAAAACTAGCGAAATGTGCTCCCTATTGAGGAAAAAGCCGAAGAGCTAAGCTAAAACAATAAGTTTCCAATTTTTTATTTTATTTCCCTGACAGAATTGGGATTAAAAAAGGAAAGTTTAAATTTTGTGCTCTACAAGAAATCACTTACCCACGGTTTTTCACTTGTCGAAAAAGGAGCAAAGCGTGGATCGAAGGAGTCGACAAC